TTTTAAGGAGCCCCCAGGACAAGTAAGGAGAATGTACAAGTGTACGCGTTCACCAAAATAAATTCACATTTTTGGACGAAGTGGCCATCACAATTCACTTCCAACAGGTATGCCATTAAAAATCACAGAAAATAAAAAGGATTTTTTTTTATTAATTTTGCAAGATTTTGATCTGATCATTTTATAATAACAGAAAATAAGCATGTGTGATGTTTGGATTTGCAAATTTTGAGAAAGCGTTACATTCATTGAATGGGTTTTAAGAAAGGCAATTTAACTATATTAGAGATGAGAGTGGAAGTGAGTTGAAACGGCCGTTTTGGGTTCAAAAACATTGAATCGTAAATTTTTATAGATATAATATTTATTAATATGAGTATTCATTTTTACCATTTTTTTTAAATTTTAGTGTTAAATAAATTGAACTTCTTGAAAATTATCTCGGCAAAGATTTCTAGTGCTACTGTGGATATCACGAAAACTGGTCTACTTATATTGGGTTTTCGTTGGATTTTTACCTGATGTATGGTACTGAATTTTTTTTAATAACTTTTTTTTAATACCAAGAAAGGAATTTTTAACAATTAAATTTATGATAACAACGAATTTTATGCAGTGACATTGTAAAAAAACTATGTATTTTATTTAACCTGGGGTTTCTAAGATCAGTTTACTAAGTTTATCAGAGAATTGAAAATTTCTAAATAATATGCAAAGTATTAGATTGGAAATTAAGTGCAGTTTTCAGCTTTTAGGTTTGATGACGTATCCAAATGTAAAATACCTTTTGTTAATGATTTGCTAGGCAATTTAGTCCAGTCATTATAGTAAGTTCACCTCGGAATTCGAGATATCCAGCTGTAAGCCTGTAAATACTTGTATATTGACACCCTTAAGTTATCTCAAAACCTACACATGCATGGTATTGACGCCCTACTCTAATGTAGGTTTTGAGACAACTTTAGGGTGTCAATATACATTTACAGACTTACAGGTGGGTATCTCGAATTCCGAGATTCTTACTTGATTTAGCTTAAATGACTGGACTAATTTAGATGACCATCAGTAGAAAAGATTTTTTTCAGCCATTGCGTTATTTTCGTTTAGAGTTCGTTGAAAGATGCTTCTTTCTTTCCGCAAATGTAAAGGCATCTTAAGCTTACGAAAAGTTATGACCTGTTTATGTATCAAAATTGGTTTGCCAAATTTTGTTCTAGTGATTTTTCACTTTTTTAACGATCTGGTCGTCCAGGTGGAGTTGTTTACAAAGGAATTGTTTACTTTTACTCTTACCACCCAACAGAACGATAATTCTGATATCTACATTGAACAACTAACGAAATTGAACAAAACCGTTAAAGAAAAGCGGCCAGAATAGTCGAGTCAACAGTCATTTAAGCTTAAATTAGGTAAGAATCTTGGAGTTTGAGATAACCAGCTGTAAGCCTGTAAATACTTGTATATTGGCACCCTAAAATAAAGTTGTCTCAAAAACTACATATGATATTGACACCCTACCATGTGTAGATTTTGAGACAACTTTAGAGACAATATACAAGTATTTACAGACTTACAGCTGGGTATCTCGAATTCCGAGGTGAACTTACTATGACTGGACTAAGAATTGACAAATCGGAGTGGTGATCAATTCCATTATTGACGTCAATATTTTATTTAGACCACTTGGCAAAAGTTATTGGAGTTTGGTTGGGTTGATTTGCCACATCCACAATATAGCATTGACCTTTCACCTTCTGAATTACTTTTAGTTTCGAACTTTACTAAGTTCCTTGAATGGTGAACACGGTGAACAATTTAGTGATTATGATGGTTTCAAATAGTATTCGACGAAGTTGCTTTTGTTTTAATAAAAACCAGAAGTTTTATGAAAATTGGATAATAATTCGGCTTGAAAAAAATGATAAAAAGTCATTGATCAAAATGGGCAATACAATACAAAATAAAGTTATTTAGTTTTATTAAAATATGGTTGTTTTTTTTAACCAAAATCCCTAGTCATCTAGTTTTTAGAATTTTTGGAAATATCAGTTCTTATATCACATTGGTCAGCTCAATTATCTTAAATATCACGATCATTATTATTATATTGACTAGGATTGCGATGTTTATGCAATGTACCTTAAAACCGTGCCTAGAGATGTTTTGAGAACGTAATTGCAGTTGTTAATATTTGATTTTTCTTCTTGACTATGTGAAAGTGTGATATCGTTCTGCTGTGAATGAGTTTTGCTGCAGAATTTAGGCAAACTACTTAATTAATTCACTTGGTTCCGCTGATATTATCAAATCATGCATTAGACAACACTGCGCAATAACAAGTTAAATAATTTTAATATCTAACATTTGTCTTTAATCGTTACTTATAATAAAATTTAATTAGATATGAGTCTAAATCACATTTTGATATATCATTAATTAAACTAATTTCGTTAAAGCTGTGAGAAATGCCATCAACCACTCGACCTCGCATGGCAATGTTGTAATCATTGCCAAATTACTATTGGCTTTGAGAATTGTTTACAATTCCTATAGATTTTACAAAGTAAAATCGTATTTGTCTGATATAATGGGTGCGATGAATAACAGAAACAGAAAATAATAAATCTTGATTAAGTTGCGAGCTATTTTTATTATTATTTTGTGGAACATGTAAATAATAGAGTTAATTCTGTTCGTGCGCGATAAATTCAATTCAGAATAACCTTATTAAGGCATTAGTAAAAAAAATTATATGGAAAAAACCTAAAGTTTGAATAAATATTGAACAATGATTTGAGAAGTTTAGAATTACTTAAATGAAAATTATTGAAATGATTTTTTATGCAACTTCTGAAAAATTAAAAAAAAAATCGCAGTCAATCGTAAGCCGTCATTCGTTAATATAGAGATTTTACTTTGAAACATTGTGGTTCCTATATATTTGGTTTTTAAAAATATTAGTAAGATTTTTCCCGTAGGGTAAGTTATAGTAATCGCCAAAAAATCGAAAATGAAAATTTATATACATCTTTATGTTTTAGAGGTTTCTGAACATTTTGGCATACCTTGGAAAAAATGGATGTATGTGTGTGTATGTATGTGTGCGGATTCAAATTTTCGTCGACGATTTCGGAAATTCAAAAAACATTCGATTTGTATTGATAAGGAGACGTGCTGATTAGTTTTTGGCGAAGGCAGATCAAGCCGTTCCGAAGATACGGCTCAAAAAGTGCCAAAAACGGTAACTCAGTTTTTAAGAGAACGGAGCGTCCGATTTTAATAATTCAAAAATATTTTACTTGTGTTGACATGATGAAGGACTGATTAAATTTTTGGGAAGGCAGGTCCAGCGGTTATGTACTCTCAATAGAAATAAGTTAAAAAAAATTCATTTGGAGTTCACTCAATTCACAATTCACTCAATTTGAATAAACATTTTCAAAAATCTTTATTGGACATATGTACATCAAATTATCAGATATTTTATAGAGATTTTAATATTGTGCACACATTTTGTGTGATTTTTTTGTGGGTTCCGCACCAACATTTTTAATTTTAAAATTTTGAAAACTTTTAAGGATCATTTGAAAAAAAAAATCCGTGCTTAGAGTGAAGCTTTTAAATCTCGACTTTAAAAATTTTAAGCAGCACATCATGTTTGTTTGCTAATTATAAATCTCGACGCTTCAAGTAATTCTGAACCGCTTGAGGCCAAGTACAGTATATAAGGGCAAGTGAGCCAAAATTGTACCTCTGGTGGATGTTTTTTTTTTAACTGCACCGTTTTTGCATAGATTAGTTTTCGACACGATTGGTCAAATTGTTTCCTAAAATTACCAGAAAAGTGCGATTTTTTTTTCTAAAGTTTTGCGAAAACATCCTGAACCGAAGTTAAAAATTCAAAAACTTCAAAGAATTCTCAAACTAAATTAAGTTGGAAATTGCGCTGATTAATTGGTAAACATCGGCCGGGCCGTTTCTTTGTAGTTAATTGTTGTTTTTTTGAGACTTCAATAAAATTTGGTATTATAATGGAGATCATGGTTTTAATAAATATTTTTATAAACAAATATTATAGACCTACGAAATGTGATTTACATCATGATTTGGAAGCTTTTATATAAAGAAAAGTGCTTAACATAGCGTTGCCATAACAACCCATTGTTGCGGTCTATTTTTTTGGAGAATTGGCCCCAGTATAATATACAAATGCAGATTATTGAAAATGTTGACAATATGGAAATTATAAAGAGCAAAATATTCATTCTATTCTAAATTTTGTAATATTTTAAGATATTGAAATGTGGTATTTCTAAAAGAATTCAAAATTGATAGCTTTTTCGAAACCTCTAAAATTAACGATTTTTTTCCCAATAACAAAACTATCAACTATAGACTTTTATTTCATAAAACTTTTACTTAAATTTATAAATGAATATAAAAAAATAGACAATGCAGATGGTATTGGGCATTTAGTAAAAACGTGTTGATTAGCAAAAATTGCTAAAATAAGAGTATCTATCAGAATAATGGGCTGTGTCAAAATTTCAAAAAGATTTTTGAAACACCTCGATGTTTATGGTTACATCGATTTTTAACATACATCTGTAAGTTTTCACAGCTTGCTTTAGGCAAAATGCCACTTACATTTAGTTCGCTTTTAGAATGTAGATTATTACATTTTAATCAATTTTAGGTTGTTTTCTAATTCAAATAAAATGTTATTCTGTGCAACATAAATAAAAGTTATTTTAATTTTTAACTTTTTATGTAATGTAGAGTTCTGTACCATACATGCAAAATTTTAAATTGTTGCTAAAATAAACGATTATAATTTTTGATGTGTTAATTATAATTCTGTAATTATGTTCTAAAATTTGAAAAAAAAAAAATAATTTTTAATTTACTTAATAAAAAAAAACCGGAAGTTTCAGCAATTTGCCTTAAGGAAACACCATGAAAACAATTTTTTTATTTCATCAGCACAATTTTAATTATAGGTTCAAGAATTTTGGTTTACATTGGGACCAAGTTAAGTAACCGAACTGGGGCGAGACTTCCCGAACGACGGTCTAAATTTAAACCCAAAACATAAGGAGCAATATGACGGCGTTCGTGTTTCGTTAATGTTTTCACCAAATGTCGTAGAGAGTGTTTCATCTAAAAGAATAGTGATTAGTTTGATAATTAGTGATTTGTTTTGAAAATACCAGTGGAATATTGTGGATAATCAAAATATAAAGGTGAGTCGATATATTAAAAAATAACCTGCATTTTATATATGTTTATAGTTATATTATTGCGCTAATGTGTTATGTGATAGAATTTTGACAGAATGAAATTCATCCTTAAGTATCATGATATATTAAAGCGTGGTTTGAAACTCAGTTTTTAATTTGGTCACAATATATGAAAACAAAAAGAGTAATTTTGTAAGTTTCACGTTAAATGCGGGTTCATCTAAATTATTTCGATAATTTATTGATGAGTTTTCTATTAACACATTCTTGGACAGTAACAGTTTCAGCAACATAAAAAAATTGACTTTCATTTTATATTTAAATTGGTGGTTTAATCCGAAATTTGAGAAAACACCGTTTATAAGGGTAGTCATATTATAATATTTTATTAACTTCCCGTAGAATAAGTTATAGTAATCACAAAAAATTCGAAAATGAAAATTTTTATATATCTTTTTTTTGAACATATTGGCACACCTTAGAAAAAATTGATGTATGTCTGTGTGTGTGTGCGGTTATAAATTTTCGTCGACAATTTCGGGAACACCGATCAACCGATTTGAATAATTCAAAGAACATTCAAATCGTATTGATAAGGAGATGTGCTGATTAGTTTTTGGCGAAGGCAGGTCTAGCCGTTTCGAAGATACGGGGTAAAAAGTGCCAAAAACGGTAACTCAGTTTTTAAGAGAACGGAGCGTCCAATTTTAATAATTCAAAAAACATTTTACTTGACAAGATGAACAACTGATTAAATATTTGTAAAGGCAGGTCCAGCGATTATGGATTCTCAATAAAAATAGGTGAGACAAGCGTCATTTGGCGGTCAAAAATGTTTATTGGACATATGTACATCAAACTATCAGATATTTTATAGAAATTTTAATAATGTGTACACATTTTGTGTAAATTTTTTTGGGTTCCTTACCTAAAGATTTTTAATTACGGTGCGGGAAGTTTCAGCAATTTGCCTTAGGGCACCATGCCATGCACCCTACTAGTTGTTATATAGGATGAATGCTATAGCATCCACATCAAGTATTACGCTTCTATTTTGCGCAATGTGCTTGCCTAAGCTAATTAGCGACTACGGGAAAAGATAAGATAATTCGAAAATATTTAAAGAATCAGTAATGACATTAGACATTGACTTGACAGGTACAATAATTACAAAAACGTTAGATTATATAAATTAAATATAAATAAAATAATTGACTTTAAAATCTGAACTTTATAAAATGATTAAGATGCAAGCTTAGCTTTTAAACATTTTTTTGATAATTTTATTTATAGTAAGTTATTTAGTATGTTTTTTCCGATATATTATTACTTTTGTCGCTACAGTTTTATTGTTCTTCTAATTTGAAGAAATTTTATCAAATATAAAGTACAAATTTAGTTTTTTAACGCTAGAAAATCTATACGTTAACCAGACAAGGGTTAGATAAGAAAAATCGAAAATGCCAGCGATTGTAAGGCTTAATAAAGACATTTCATGATGTCTTTATTTTCTAACTAAAAACTAAAAAGATTCGCAAATTCCAATTCATTTTGTCCTAAAAAGTAGTATTATTATACTTGTAGTATTACTTTACTTACATTTTTATTTTATGTAACCACTGTGCATATATCTAAGCAACAATGCATTAGAATATTTAATTAATTATTCTATATGCAAAAAAATATTTTTAGGTTAAAATTAATTACCATTTTGAAATTTTTTATTAATTAAGCAGATGTATATAAAACATTGCATGTGAATTTTTATTACATATTGCAATGGAAAGTTAATTATATAAATAGATAGAAAAAATACATGAAAATTTGTCTGAGTCATTTTTAAATTTTGCAAAACATTAGAAATATTTCAATAATTTCAAGCATTCTGAAATTTTCAAATGAAGAATATCTAAAAGAAATATTTATATTAGTGTGTTTGATATTTAATTAAGGTCCTTGGTGTGAGAGAGCACTATAAATCAATATTCCCTTTCCCTTCCTTGTTACCATTTCATTAGAAAAATGAAAAATTTTATATGTCTTTACGTTTCAAAGGTTTTTGAACATTTTAGCATACCTTAGAAAAAATGGATGTATGTGTGTGCGCATGTGTGTGCGGATACAAATTTTTGTCGATGGTTTTGGGAACGCCGATCAACCGTTTTGAATAATTCAAAAAACATTGCTATATTCAAAATCACTGTTTATCGTTTTAAATCTAATTAAAAATCAATATCTATAAATTTAATAAATGTTGACATGAAAAAAAGTGAAATGTCATTTGTCAATATTTATGAGAGGTATTAGATAAATAGATTTATAATTTATATTTATTTGATTTGCTTACCAAATTAGTTCGGATACCAAAACTTTCTCAAAACATTATAGGTCACAATGAAAAAGCGACATATTGAATTTAACATAAACAAAATTTTGACAGTTCAAGAAAATTGAATTTTTAACGACTTCAATAAGAAACAAATACAATAATTATTCCAACATCAAATTATAGATACAAAACACTATTGAAAAATAACTTATATCAAGAAGGAAATATTTTGGCATTTACAAATTTAGTGCATATTGGATATATGAAATTGACATTCACTGTTTTTAAATTAAATGCAATGTATATGCATTTTGGTGTGAAAAATAATTTAAAAAATAATAATTATTATTTTTAGGTAAACGGTAAATATTAGTATATGTAGGATTATTGAAAAATTGTAGGCGTGGATACAGGACAACGTCCGTCGGGTCATCTAGTATATATATATATATATATATATATATATAAATATAAATATTTACAACATGAATTTTGATGCTAAGATTAATTTTTGAGAGCTATGCCAGTATTTCCGGAATGGCACCATTTCCGTATGGTTTCTATATGTTTCTGTATGTATAATCATGTATATATAATTATATATTTATTTATATATGGATGCATGTATCTATATAGATCAAATTAATAAAAATTCACGGAATTCTGCAGAACAAATATTTGTATTAGCTGCATTTTAGTGCATTCCTTTCTTAAGTAAAAATATTTGCGAAACCGCAGACAATAAACAAATCATAAACGATCCAAAAAAGACAAAGCTATTCATAATATAATAATAAAGCGAATATTCTACACAAAACGTTGTAAATATATTTTTATGCGTTTTTTCTTACTTTTATTATTATTATTCAAATCAACAATATTATACACAGGTAAATTTGCCGATATCACACCTAATCAGTTTAATAAATCTATATTCTTTATTAATTAATATGTCTCATATTTAGGTACGAAATATTCAAGTATGAAATTTTGAAGAGCATTTAAAACTGTTTTTTATCTGAAGATATTACCTTTTTTCGCACTTTATGATACTCATATTATATTTTATACTTCACCAATTAATAATAAACCCATATTTTATGTACATAAACTCCTAAACAATTATTTCATATATAACTACACTCTTCAAATATAATATTTTTAACTTCCCGTAGGGTAAGTTATAGTAATCGCAAAAAAATTGAAAATGAAAATTTTTATATATCTTTACGTTTCAGAGGTTTCTGAACATTTTGGCATACCTTAGAAAAAATGGATGTATGTGTGTGTGTGTGTATGTGTGTGTGTGTGTGCGTGTATGTATGTGTGTGCGGATACAAATTTTCGTCGACGATTTCGGGAACACGGATGAAGCAATTTGACTAATTTAAAAAACATTCGATTCATATTGATAAGGAGACGTGCTGATTAGTTTTTGGCGGAGGTAGGTCTAGCCGTTCCGAAGATATGGGGCAAAAAGTGCCAAAAAGTGCCAAAAACGGTACCTCAATTTTTAAGAAAACGGAGCGTCCGATTTTAATCATTCATATTCAAATAAAAACATTTTACTTGTATTGACACGATGCAGAATTGATCAAATTTTCATAACGGCAGGTCTAGCGGTTTCGGAGATCTAACGAAAAAAGTAAAAATAATGCCATTTGGCGGTCAAAAATGATCATTAGACATATGCACATCAAATTATCAGATATTTTATAGAGATTTTAACAATAAGTATAAATTTTGTTTACATTCCTATGGGTTCCGTACCAATATTTACCCGTTAAACAGCGACGCGGCTCTTGCGCGCTTTATATTTTATCTCTATGCAGTTAAAGCAGTACGATTGTTTCGAAAAAAAGATCTTCTAAAATATGTTAAACTAAAGAAAACATTTTTTTTTTCAAAAAAAAAATTCAAAAAAAAAATAATTTTTTAAAATTTTTTTTTCCAATTTTTTTTCAAAAAAAAGTAATTTTTTGTCAAATTTATAGTTTCTCAATAATCTTATTTTTTCGAAGTTATTTTTTTTCCAAAAATGTTAATCGTTTTTAAAAAATAATAATTTTTGGTACGGGAAGTTCCAGCAATTTGCCTTAAGGCACGATGCCCTAATTGCCTTAAGACAGAATTCCACTTACAGCTAGTTCTTCCACTAAAATGTTAGTTTTATGACAAGTCAATAATATTTTTATAGCTATAAATGCGAATTGTTAAAAATAGTGCAATTAAAGACACCAATAATGGCGTAAACTTAAACGTGTACAATTAAAGTTACCAACAATGGCGATTGTCGTTGATAAAATTTATTTTAATATAAATTAATTGAAAGACTGTGTGACTATGTATGAAGTCAATTCTATATATTCAAAAGAAGTCTATTCATCTCACCAATCAATTGAATTTTAAAAGGTTAGCATCGGGGTTCCTCAAGGCAGTGTGTTAAGTCCGATATCGTATTTTGTCATTCGTATACTAATAAATAGAATGTTAATCATTTTTATTTACCCTGATTATATAGATACAATTCCAAGCAATAAAGTTATAACAGAAACCCAAGTCAGATTTTTTAGATTAGACGTATATAAATACAGGGTGTCTCAGAAATCAAAGTCAAGCGGCTGTTGTGGTTAATTTTGATTAGTTTTTCTTATTTAAATTTTGATCTCGTAT